GGGTCCCGTTCTCTGCACCTGCAAGCTCTGTGTTAGACCATGTTCCTGTCGTCTAATAAACCTTCTGTTTTACTGGCTGGCTGAGAGTCACGTCTGACTGTGAAGTTGGGGTGCAGGACCCTCTGGCTTCCCCAGGAGCCCCGCCTGAGCGGACTCGCTGTGGGAAGCGCACGGAGGGGCAGAGGATGCTGAATGCTCCGAGGTCAGACCCAGGAAGGTGGAAGCTGTGTGAGCTGTGTGTCCTGAAGACAGGCTGCTCACAGAAAGGCGACTGCCCCAGAGTCCTGACTGGCTTCATGGGGAGCAGTTCCAGAGCATCGCCCAGGGACTCCGTGACAACTGGTGGCAGCGGTGGGATGTACTGCACCCCGTGGATGGCGCTTCCTGCAGTAAGTGACTGGGGAGCAGTAACACGAAGGGGGATTGCCGAGGACTAGGCCTGCTGAAGGCTCAGAGAGGAGCGGTTTCGGGGGGCGGTTAACCCCTGGGAGTGTGTGACCAGCGAGAAGGACTGTGCAGTAGCAGGGTTCCCCTGGGGATTGCAGCAAGCAGTCCAAGGGGCGGAGGAGTCTGCAGCTCGACCCTGGCAAAGAGGTGGTGACCTCGAGAAGGGCTGGCACACTAGGGGTTCTCCCTGGAAACCGTGGGGAGCTGAGAACACACGGGCCTGTGAGTCCACAACAACTTGGGAGGAGCGGAGTGATGGCCTGTCACTGTCTCCTTAAGAAGGACATTGTCACCCTGTGCAAAAAGAGAGGGTTGAGCGTTGGAAAGTGCACCAAAGCAGAGTTAATCGTGCAGCTGGAGGAGGATGACCACTCTAAGGAACAGATTCCTGACCCCAACTGGGGCTATAGCAGGATCTGGGAGCAGCTGAAGCGGGAGCCAGGCATCGCCAAGACTCCTGTCCCCGACCAGACGAGGGTCTTCACGATCGGGTTCCCCATCGGGGGATCGAGACGGACGGGATTGGAGCTGAGTCTGAGAGAGCAAGAGGACTGTGAGAGACAGCGAGAGCCCGAGAAAGAGCTGCAGAAGCAGCAGCAGGATGAACTGGCGGTGGTGGGGCGGAGAGGCCTAGGGGACCCCTCAGGGGTGAGTGGGGATAGACCCCGGGGGGCCAGTTCCGCAGGGAACCTCGAGACTAAATTGCTGCCCCTGGTTAAGGGGGGGGGTTTGGATGCCCACCTCACTGCCTTTGAGCAGGCTGGCGATTTGAACCAAGGGGACCCTGCGGAAAAGCCCCGGTGTCTAGCTCCCTTGCTGGGTCCCAAGGCCTTAGACTCCGTCAGCCAGATGGTTGCGGATGTGGACAGGCTCCCACTCCTGACCCCAACCTATATGTCTGTGTGGAGTTTCCTGGGGCCAGGCCCCCGGACCTCCAGTGGGAGCAGAAGGTGATGGTCAATGGGGAGACATTCTTGGGGTGGCCAAAGGGCATGGGCTGCATAAACCTTCCCACATGCGGCCTGCAAGTGCTATCGACCACCCCTGACCTAAGGGAGGGCGTGAAACTGGAAGGGCCTGGTGTAACTCCTACCAAGGAATGGGAGAGATGCTGGGGCATCCATGGGAATGTTGGTGGCTTCGAACTTCCCCAGGTCACCGGCTAAAGTGACCCCGCTCAGTTCGATCTCGAAGGGGGGAGAGATGTGACGAAGTGGGACTGTTCTTAATGTTTCCTCTGAATAGTGTGGGGGTGCCTCAGTTTCCCCCAGGCAGTTCTTAAGTATCTAGGGGGTGGAGTAAGGGTGTATGATCATTGCAGAGCCCTAGAGGGCATGTGTGTGAAGGGGTCTGGACACAGAGAATGGCCGACACCCTGTTTCCTGGCAACTGATGGCCGGGGCCCTTCCCCCCTGCAAGGTGAGAGCTGAAGGGTTGGAGAACAAAGGAATCAGGTGACCACCTGGCCCGGGAAAGGAACAAAGCCCAGAGGAGGAGGGGCTGGAGGGAGTGTCAGTTTGGGGCTGGCTGGGACATGGAGTGAAGTGCAGACGTGGTTGTCTGGCTCACTACCCCCCAAAATGGACCCAGCTGAGGGGTCCCGTTCTCTGCACCTGCAAGCTCTGTGTTAGACCATGTTCCTGTCGTCTAATAAACCTTCTGTTTTACTGGCTGGCTGAGAGTCACGTCTGACTGTGAAGTTGGGGTGCAGGACCCTCTGGCTTCCCCAGGAGCCCCGCCTGAGCGGACTCGCTGTGGGAAGCGCACGGAGGGGCAGAGGATGCTGAATGCTCCGAGGTCAGACCCAGGAAGGTGGAAGCTGTGTGAGCTGTGTGTCCTGAAGACAGGCTGCTCACAGAAAGGCGACTGCCCCAGAGTCCTGACTGGCTTCATGGGGAGCAGTTCCAGAGCATCGCCCAGGGACTCCGTGACACCGACATCTAGAGCCACCAGTCCAGGCTCCCTGGCCAGGGAACACAGCGACCCCGGGCACCAGGTCTCCTTGCCTGCGGGATCGCAAAGGCTGTGCCCTTGGGGAGGGGGTGCAGGACCCCAGGCTCTGGAGGGGGGCAGGGGCCCTGAGGGGACGGGGCATAGGCTTGCGGGGCACAGCAGGGGAAGGCTTTTCATGCCGTTATCACCTGAGGGGTGGCCAGGGCTGGCGTGAGCCCAGGCCCCAGGCAGGATTGGCCCCGCTGGCCACCCATCCCAGCAGGCTCGGGGCCTGTTCCCAGCGGCACTGGGTGGCCCTGGAGTTTGATCGACGAGTCAGCGCAGCTGGGGCAGCGCATTGCTGGCAGGGACCAGCTTAACACTGTCCCCGTGGGGTGAGGGCAACGGCCATGGGGCCAGAGCCTCCCTGGGGGCAGGACTTGCCAATCCCAGCACAAGGCCCACATCACTGCCTGGCTCCAGCGGGTTACCCATTAACCCAGGCAGGGGAGGGGGCATGACCCCTGGGGGCACCCATGCCCCCCTCCCTGCCCAGAGCCCGTGACTCTGCCTGCAGGGGGGGCCTGGCCGTGGGGGCTGGGCAGGGCCTGTGGTGCCCGCTGGCCTCCCTGGCAGGGGCCGATGCCCTTCCCGTGGAGCCCCCGCCGCACAGTGGGTGTGAGGATGTGACGCAGCAGGGAGGGGGGAGTGTTGACCTGGGAATGTGCCCTGGGGGTGGGAGACCTGAGAGCCTGTCACCTGAGCCAGGAGGGGGAGCGGGAGGTAACACCTCTGCCCGGGAATGTGGACGGAGACTGCAGCAGGGAACCTGCTGGGTGGGGTTAGTTTCAGTTTGGGGCTGGGTGGAGGAACACAGGGAACCCCAGGGCTGGGGTCTAAGCTCCCTGCTCCCCCAGAAGGACTTGACTGAGGGGTCCTGGGGGTACCCACAAGCTCTGTTGGGGGCTGTGTTCCTGTTGTCCAATAAACCTTCTGTTTTACTGGCTGGCTGAGAGTCTCAGTGGATCCCAGGAAGAGGGGTGCAGGGCCCGGACTCCCCCACACCCCATGACAGGGGGCAATGGAGACCCTGAGGCCACGCTGGCTGCCCTGACTGAGAGGCCCTGGGGACAGCAGCTCTCATTTGGGGGGGGCAGGGCAGGGGGCCCACGGCTGGGGCCAGGGCTGGTCCCGGGGCCATGTGCCGGAGCCCTGGACTGAGGCATCACCAGGCACCTCGAACTCACCAGTGCAGACCCTTCAGAGCTGGGGCGGGGGGCGGGTCAGACACAGGGTCCCTGGGATCTGCCCTCTAGGATGGGGGCAACTGCTGTGTGGGGCCCAAGGCTGGAGCCTCTGTGAACAAAGGGTTAAAGATGTGAGATGGCTGGGCACAGCGTGCCAGGATAGAACAGGGCGCAGCGTGCCAGGGAAGGGCAGGGCAGGGCACAGCGTGCCAGGGAAGGGCAGGGCTGGGCGCAGCATGCCAGGGAAGGGCAGGGCTGGGCGCAGCATGCCAGGGCAGGGCAGGGCAGGGCACAGCATGCCAGGGAAGGGCAGGGCTGGGCGCAGCATGCCAGGGAAGGGCAGGGCTGGGCGCAGCATGCCAGGGCAGGGCAGGGCAGGGCACAGCATGCCAGGGAAGGGCAGGGCTGGGCGCAGCATGCCAGGGCAGGGCACAGGCCTGGGGCTTGGGGGCCAGGATGCTCTCAGAAGCCCGGAGTGGGTATTTCCCTCCCCTCCACACCCGCTGTCTCTGAGACCATCGCAAAAAGAAAAGGAGGACTTGTGGCACCTTAGAGACTAACCAATTTATTTGAGCATGAGCTTTCGTGAGCTACAGCTCACTTCATCGGATGCATACTGTGGAAACTGCAGAAGACTTTATATACACAGAGACCATGAAACAATACCTCCTCCCACCCCACTCTCCTGCTGGTAATAGCTTATCTAAAGTGATCATCAAGTTGGGCCATTTCCAGCACAAATCCGGCTGGAAATGGCCCAACTTGATGATCACTTTAGATAAGCTATTACCAGCAGGAGAGTGAGTTTGTGTGTGTGGTTTTTGGAGGAGGGTGAGGGGGTGAGAGAACCTGGATTTGTGCTGGAAATGGCCCACCTTGATTATCATACACACTGTGAAGAGAGTGGTCACTTTGGATGGGCTATTACCAGCAGTGGGTGGGGGCGGAGGGTGAGAAAACCTGGATTTGTGCTGGAAATGGCCCAACTTGATGATCACTTTAGATAAGCTATTACCAGCAGGACAGTGGGGTGGGAGGAGGTATTGTTTCATGGTCTCTGTGTGTATATAAAGTCTGCTGCAGTTTCCACGGTACACATCTGATGAAGTGAGCTGTAGCTCACGAAAGCTCATGCTCAAATAAATTGGTTAGTCTCTAAGGTGCCACAAGTCCTCCTTTTCTTTTTGCGAATACAGACTGACACGGCTGTTACTCTGAAACCTGAGACCATCGTTATCTCCTCCCCCCTTGGGGGGGCCTGAACCCCCCGCCCAGCCCCGGCCCTGGGCCAGGAGCTGCTGCACCCCCCCCCAAGCCAGCCAATGGCATCCCTCGGCCCTGCTGGGGGGGGCTGTGGGCGGAGTGGGGCACGGAGCAGAGTGGGTGCCGCAGCCACAGAGCCAGAGCGGGGCAGGGACTGCAGGTGAGTGGCACAGGCTGGGCCGTGGGGTGCACGGGTGAGGGGGTGCATGGGGGTGGGGGGTGCACAGGGTAGAAGATGCCCATGGGCTGGGGGTGCAGTGGGGTTGAGATCTTTGGCAGGGGGATGGGAGGGACACAGAGGGAGCTGCCCTGGCTGGGGGGCTGGAGCCCAGAAGGGGCAGGCAGAGGGTCCCCCAGCAGGTGCCCCCAAGCCAGGCAGCTCCGGGCATTTACCTGCCTGTGCCCCTGGCACTGGCTACATGGGGAGTCTCAGGGCTGAACCGGGTGGGGGCAGGGGCTGGCTAATGCTGCCAGCAGCCCCAGAGGGGTGAGGCTGGAGGCTGTGGGGATCCCGCTGGGGGGCACGGGAGCCCTGCTGCTCAGCACCCTGCGGGGTTATGGGCACAGCTGCCCTGTGAAGCCCCCAGCTCTGCCGGTGCCCCTGTCACGGGGTCCCCAGGCGATGCTCTGGAACGGCTCCCTACAAAGCCAGGCAGGACTCTGGGGAAGTCTCCTTCCTGTGAGCAGCCTGTCTTCAGGACACACAGCTCACCCGGCTTCCACCTTCCCGGGTCTGACCTCGGAGCATTCAGCCTCCTCTGCCCCTCCGTGCGCTTCCCCCAGCGAGTCCCCCCAGGCGGGGTCCTGGGGAAGCCAGAGGGTCCTGCCCCCCAACTCCGCAGTCAGACGGTGCAGAGAACCGGACCCCTCAGCTGGGTCCATTTTGGGAGGGGGGGGGAGGGACAGTGAGCCAGACAACCCCGTCTGCCCTTCACTCCTTGTCCCCAGCCAGCCCCAAACTGAAACTCCCTCCAGCCCCTCCTCCTCTGGGCTTTGTCCCTTTCCCGGGCCAGGAGGTCACCTGATTCCTTTGTTCTCCAACCCTTCAGCTCTCACCTTGCAGGGGGGGAAGGGCCCAGGCCATCAGCTGCCAGGAAACAGGGTGTCGGCCATTCTCTGTGTCCAGACCCCTGCACACACCTGCCCTCTAGGGCTCTGCAATGATCATACCCCCTTACCCCACCCCCTAGAGACTTAAGAACTGCCTAGGGGAAACTGAGGCACCCCCACACTATTCAGAGGAAACATTAAGAACAGTCCCACTTCGTCACAGCCCCTCACTCCCAACCTGCAGCCCCTGCTAGCCCAGCCCTGGGCTCCTCTCTGTTGGCTGCTGTACTGCCAGCAAGCCCGGGCCACACTGTGTGGATAATCCTGACAGCAAGTATCTGGGCTGTCGGGCAGGGCCCGGCAGGGGGCACAGAATTGCAGACGTGTGGGCCTGGAAGGGAACTCTGCAGGTCAGCCAGTCCCATCCCCGGCACTCAGGCAGGACAACGGGCCAGTGCGTTGCAGGACGGGGTTAAAATTCAAAAGGATCTGGACAAACTGGAGAAATGGTCTGAAGTAAACTGGATGAAATTCAATAAGGACAAATGCAAAGCCCTCCACTTAGGAAGGAACAATCAGTTGCACACATACACAATGGGAATGACGGCCTAGGAAGGAGTCCTGTGGAAAGGGATCTGGGGTCATAGTGGATCACAAGCTAACTATGAGTCAATGGTGTAACAAACATCCTTCTGGGCTGTATGAGCAGGAGTGTTGTAAGCAAGACACGAGAAGTAATTCTTCCGCTCTACTCCGCGCTGATTAGGCCTCAACTGGAGTATTGTGTCCAGTTCCTGGCCCCACATTTCAGGAAAGATGTGGAAAGTCCAAAGAGCCACAAAACGGATGAAAGGTCTAGGAAACATGACCTGTGCGGGAAGATTGAGAACACTGGGTCTGTTTGGTCTGGAGCAGAGAAGACTGGGAGGGGACATGAGAACAGTTTTCAAGTACATAAAAGGTTGTTACAAGGAGGGAGAAAAAATTTTCTTCTGAACCTCTGAGGACAGGACAAGAAGCAATGGGCTTAAATGGCAGCATGGTGGAGATTAGGAAAAACTCCCGACCTCCCAGGATGGTTCAGCACTGGAATAAATTGCCCAGGGCGGTTGTGGAGTCCCCGTCACTGGAGGTTGTTAAGAGCAGGTTGGACAAACTCCTGTCAGGGATGGTCTGGATAATACTTAGTCCTGCCTCAGTGCAGGGGACTGGACTAGGCGACCTCTTGAGGTCCCTGCCAGTCCTACGACTCTGATTCTACACAGACTCATAGAATGTCAGGGTTGGAAGGGACCTCAGGAGGTATCTAGTCCAGCCCCTTGCTCAAAGCAGGACCATAATATAGACTGTCCTGCCCCCTCAGTCACCGTACAGCTCCCCCCATCTGCCCCCACCAGGAACCGTGGCGTTCCCATCTAACCTGGGCTGGCAGCCAGGGCCCGGCTTCCCCGTGTCCCCCACAGGCGCTGTAATGGGACTGGCTCCCGCGCCAGGATGCCAGCGGGGTGAGCAGGGACCTGCAGCGCAGACAGGGCTGGAGGGAGCGGGGGAAGGTGCCCTGGCACATGCCCGGGCGGGTGACCAGCTGAGGTGCTGGGGCTGCCTGGGGCCCTGAGGGGTAGGGCAGGGCCCACATTGTCTCCCGCAGCTCCTGGCATGGGTGCGGTGCAGGTCGTCTGGGCTGCCCGCCCCACGGCCTGCCCTCTGGTGCTCCGTGCAGTCCCCCTGCAGAGCCAGTGGCCCAGGCTGAGCCCAGGCCTGCTGCGCATGGCATGGAGCCCCCAGCTGGGCACGCAAAGACCGGTGCCACCCTTGTGGGGCTGCGGCAGTCGTGGCTGGGCTCCTGCGCCTGGAGGGCTGGGGCTGGTGGGAAGAGCGGGCTCGGCTCCTGCCCCTCTGACCGGCCCCTCTCGATGCCCAGGTTCCCAGGGAAGGATGCGGCTGGAGACCCTCGCGTGGGTGGTGATGGCGCTCGGCGTCCTGGCCAGCCCCAGCCCTGAGCCCCAGCTGGGGGCGTCGATCTTTGCTGACCTGAGCCCGGCAGAGCTGCGGGCGGTGCAGAGCTTCCTGCTGAGCCGGCCGGAGCTGGGGCTGGGGGCCGGCCCCGCGGAGTCGCTGGCCAGCAACAGCCTCTTCCTGGTGGAGCTGCAGGTGCCCAGGAAGAGCCAGGCCCTGCAGTTCTTGGATGGGGGCAGCCCCCGCCCGCCACGCCTGGCCCGCGCCATCATCTTCTTCGGGGAGCAGGCCCAGCCCAACGTCACCGAGTTTGTGGTGGGGCCCCTGCCGCGGCCCAGCTACTACCGGCCCGTGGGCTACAAGGGCGGGCGGCCCGTCCCCTTCACCGCGCGGCCCGTCAGCCAGCTGGAGTACCGGCTGATGCACCGCAGGCTGCTGGAGATGCTGGAGCCGCTGGACCGGCTGCTGCACGAGGCCACCGGCTTCCGGTACCACAACTGCAGCCAGCGCTGCCTGACCTTCTCGGACGCGGCGCCCCGCGGGCTGGGCCCCGGCGAGCGCCGCTCCTGGCTCATCCTCCAGCGCTCCGTGGAGGGCCACTTCCTGCACCCCGTGGGGCTGGAGCTGCTGCTGGACCACCGCTCCCGCGACCCCGGCCGCTGGGCCCTGCAGCAGCTCTGGTACAAGGGGCAGTACTTCGCCAGCGCCCAGGAGCTGGCCGGGCGCCACGAGCGGGGGGAGCTGGCCCCGGCCCCGCCGCCCAGGCCCGAGCTGCTCTTCTCCACCTACCTGCCCCGCGGCCGCTTCGGCACCGGCACCCCCACGGACGTGCACGGGGCCAAGGTGTGCGAGCCGCAGGGCAAGCGCTACCGGCTGCGGGGCAACCTGGTGGAGTACGGGGGCTGGCGCCTGGCCCTGCGGCTGCGCTCCTCCTCCGGCCTGCAGCTCTTCGACCTGCGCTTCAACGGCCAGCGGCTGGCCCACGAGCTGAGCGTGCAGGAGGCCGTGGCCTTCTACGGGGGCGACACGCCGGCCGCCATGCAGACCAAGTACATCGACAGCTCCTGGGGCCTGGGCGCCCTGGCCCACGAGCTGGCGCCCGGCATTGACTGCCCCGAGGTGGCCACCTACCTGGACGTGCACCGCCTGTACGACGCGGCGGGGCCCGTGCGCTACCCCCGCGCCCTCTGCCTCTTCGAGCTGCCCACCGGCGTGCCCCTGCGGCGCCACTTCGACAGCAACGCCCAGGGCGGCTACCGCTTCTACGGGGGCCTGGAGGGGCGGGCGCTGGTGCTGCGCACCACGGCCACCGTCTACAACTATGACTACATCTGGGACGTGCTGCTCTACCCCAACGGGGTGCTGGAGGCCAAGGTGCACGCCACCGGCTACCTCCACGCCACCTTCTACACGCCCCAGGGCCTGCACTACGGCACCCGCCTGCACCAGGACCTGCTGGGCAACCTGCACACCCACCTGGTGCACTACAAGGTGGACCTGGACGTCGCCGGTGCGTGGCCCCCCCCCTTGAGCCGGGTCCTCCCCCGGCACGGCCCCGCCCGGCCCCGGCCCCCCGGCCTCGGTCCTCCCCCGGCACGGCCCCGGCCCCCCGGCCTCGGTCCTCCCCCGGCACGGCCCCGCCCGGCCCCGGCCCCCCGGCCTCGGTCCTCCCCCGGCACGGCCCCGGCCCCCCGGCCTCGGTCCTCCCCCGGCACGGCCCCGCCCGGCCCCGGCCCCCCGGCCTCGGTCCTCCCCCGGCACGGCCCCACCCGGCCCCGGCCCCCCGGCCTCGGTCCTCCCCCGGCACGGCCCCGCCCGGCCCCGGCCCCCCGGCCTCGGTCCTCCCCCGGCACGGCCCTGCCCGGCCCCTGCTCCCTGGCCTTGGTCCTCACCTGGCACAGCCCCACCCTCGCCCTTCTCCCCCCCCCACGGCCCCTCCAGCCCGGTCCTTCCCCGGCACAGCCCCACCTAGCCCCGCTCTTTCCTTGCTCCCTGGCCGCTCGTGGCTACTGGGCTCCCTCCCCCACCAGTGCCCAGGCCAGGGGCTGCTCCTAGATGGGATCCCCCAAGCTGAGGTTGGATGGACCCAGGAGTCCTGTTTCCATGACGGCAGATGGAGCTCAGGGGAGCATCAGCCCCAACCTGCTACCCCGGTCTCGGGGCAAGCTCCCAGCTTCATGGCAGCTCAGCCCCTGCACAGGGCAGGGCCCGTCCCAGCATCCCTCCCCGGGGGGCAGGGATACCCCCCAGCCCCTGGTCTGCCCCGAGGCCCCCCCTCACCGCCCGTCTGCCCCCCGCAGGCACCCGGAACAGCTTCGAGGCAGTGGACGTGCGGTTCGAGAACATCTCCAACCCCTGGCAGGCGGGCGAGCGGGTCGTGCAGCCCCGTCTGCACCGGCGGCCATGCCGGAGCGAGCGCCAAGCCGCCTTCCCCTTCGGCACGGCCCTGCCCAGGTACCTGCTGGTCTCCAGCCCGACCCAGCGCAATCGCTGGGGGCACCCGCGCAGCTACCGCATCCAGTACAGCTCGCAGGCCGACCGCGTCCTGCCCCGCGGCTGGAAGGAGGAGCAGGGCGTCGCCTGGGGACGGTAAGGCCGGGACCCAGCAGCCAGCGGGGGGCCGCGGCCAAGGGAGCAGCACCCGGGGGCTGGGACAGCGGGGGGCCCGGCAGGGGGCGCCCTGGGGTCTCTGGGACTGGCCTGATCAGCAGCAGGGCTGGGACCGCGGGCGGGCCGGGGTGGTCTCAGGGCCCCTGCCCAAGGACGGAGCCGGGGGGGATGCCCGGGGGGGCCCTGCCCAGCGGTGGTTTCTCCCTTGAGCCCGCCGGGCCGCACCCCACGGGGGACTGGGGCTCAGCTGCGGGACCCGCTGTGGGCAGGTACCACCTGGCGGTGACGCGGCACCACGAGAAGGAGGCGACCAGCAGCAGCCTGTACGCCCAGCACGACCCCTGGCAGCCGGTCCTCGACTTCGAGAGCTTCCTCCGCAACGACGAGAACATCGAGAACCAGGTGCTGGGCGGGCCTGAGCCTGCATGGGGCCGCAGTTGAGCCGTGGGGGGCACCGTGGGGTGGGGCCCTGAGGCTCTGCTCTCTATGGAGAGGAGGGGATGGGGGGATGGGGGGGGGGGGGGGGGGCGGGGGCCCAGGCTGTGGGGGGTCAGTGCTGGGACCCCGGCAGTGCAGGGGGTCCCAGGAGTGACTGTATGGGGTGGGGTTGGGACCCTGGAGGTGCAGGGAGGCCCCAGGCTGTGGGGGGCAGTGCCGGGGCCCCAGTGACTGTGAGGGGTGGGATTGGGGCCCCAGGCTGGGGGGGCAGTGCCGGGGCCCCAGTGACTGTGAGGGGTGGGATTGGGGCCCCAGGCTGGGGGGGGCAGTGCAGGGGCCGTAGTTACTGTGAGGGGTGGGATTGGGGCCCCAGGCTGGGGGGGCAGTGCCGGGGCCCCAGTGACTGTGAGGGGTGGGATTGGGGCCCCAGGCTGGGGGGCAGTGCCGGGGCCCCAGTGACTGTGAGGGGTGGGATTGGGGCCCCAGGCTGGGGGGCAGTGCCGGGGCCCCAGTGACTGTGGAGGGGGTGGGATTGGGGCCCCAGGCTGGGGGGGCAGTGCTGGGGCCCCAGTGACTGTGAGGGGGTGGGATTGGGGCCCCAGGCTGGGGGGCAGTGCCGGGGCCCCAGTGACTGTGAGGGGTGGGATTGGGGCCCCAGGCTGGGGGGGCAGTGCAGGGGCCCTAGTTACTGTGAGGGGTGGGATTGGGGCCCCAGGCTGGGGGGGCAGTGCCGGGGCCCCAGTGACTGTGAGGGGTGGGATTGGGGCCCCAGGCTGGGGTGGGGCAGTGCCGGGGCCCCAGTGACTGTGAGGGGTGGGATTGGGGCCCCAGGCTGGGGGGGCAGTGCCGGGGCCCCAGTGACTGTGAGGGGTGGGATTGGGGCCCCAGGCTGGGGGGGGCAGTGCCGGGGCCCCAGTCACTGTGGCTCTCGTCCGTGGCAGGACCTGGTGGCCTGGGTGACGGTGGGTTTCCTGCACATCCCGCACGCTGAGGACGTGCCCAACACGGCCACGCCCGGCAACGCCGTCGGCTTCTTCCTGCGCCCCTTCAACTTCTTCGACGAGGACCCGTCGGTGGCGTCGCGCAGCACCGTCATCGTGCGGCCCCGGGACCCGGCCGCGGCCCAGGTGGAGATCCAGCGCTGGACGCCCGCCAGCCCGGGGCCCTGCGTCTCCGCCGAGCCCTTCCACTACAACGGCACCTACTGGCAGGAGTGAGCCCGGGCCCTGCCCACGGCAGCAGGGCCCGGCGGGCGTCACTGGCGCGAAGGGGCCCCTGGCCTCTGCTCCGGCTGGCTGGGGCCATGGCTCTGGGGACCGGGGGGTGGGGGCAGCTCGGCAGCTCCTAGCCCCGAGGGTCGCCCACAGACAGCTGGGCCTGGGGGGGCACAGAGGTGGGGAGGGGGCGCGGACCGAAGGGCTTGGCCCCGTGCTAAGGGGACTCTAGTCGGTAAATACACGTGTCTGCCCAGCCCGCGGAGTCTGTTGGGGCTGCATGCCCCCATGCGACGTGTGGGGCATTCTGGGCGGGGGGGTCTGTCTGCTGGAGTGGGGGGTCAGCGAGTGGAGGCTCTGGGGGCTGGGTGTGTCCGTATGGGGAGCTGGGGGGAGCGCCGTGTCTGCAGGCATGGGGGAGACGCGGGGGGGGCTCTGGCCTGGTGTGTGCAAGCTCTCGGTCCGGTGTAGGGGATACGATCCCGCAGCCTGCCCGGCCTGGTGCCTGCCCTGCTGGACCCCCCGGGCGCAGCCAGCTCCCCCTGGGACCCCCCGACACGGAGGGGCGCTGTGCTGCCGGGAGCCAGACACAATGGTGGGGCAGGAGGTGCAGGGAGCGGGCGGGGGGAGGGGCGAGTAGGGGCTGTGAAGTTGGGGACACACCAGGGGGTGCCGGGCTGCAGGGGGGTCCAATGGGGCGGGAGCCCTGGGCACCATTTCCTGAGAAGCTGCTGCTTGTAGTGTCCCCCCGCAGGTCTGGCCCCCCCATGCCAGGTAGTGCTGGCCCCACAGCTGATCCCCCAGTCCAAGGTGCGGGGGGGGCCACGTCCCAGGTGGGGACTGTGTGGCGTCCCAGGGCTGGACCCCCCCCGGCAGAGCCGTGTCCCAGGGCTGCGCGTGTCCGTGGTGCCCCCCCCAGGCGCAGAGGCAGATGGAGGCATCGTTGGCTGGTTTATTGGCGCGCTGGGGGGTCACGTGAAGGCGCCATGCGGGGATGTGGGGGAGACACAGACTGGGCAGTGCCCGCTACAGGACATGGCACAAGGACAGCACACGCCACTTGGAGCCTGCCGGCGGGTCGCTGACGAGAGCCCCCGGACCGGGCTGCTCCCCCCCCCACGGCGTGGAAGGGAGCAGGGGCTCAGGGGTGCACAGCACAGCATGGGGAGAGCCCCCCTCCGGGGACAGGGCAGACTCCCAGCTGTCCCCCCTGGTGGGGTTCGGGGCAGGCCAGGGGAGGGGGGGTACCTGCCAGACAGCTCAGGGCTCCAGGGCGCAGCTGCCCCAGGGAGCCCCAAGGAGGGGGCCGGCTGGGGAACGGCAGCCCAGAGATGGGGCGCGTGGGGGCACTGGCAGGAGACGGGTACGTGAGCCGGGGCCACCTTGCCAGCAGGGATGGTGAGCAGCCCATGGCCCTGCCAGCCACCTCCCCCCACAGCAGGGCCAGCCGTGTGCGCCCAGAGCGGGGCGCTGCACCCCCCACAGGGAACAGCCCCCCCCAACACACAGGGAATGGGGCCCCCTAGCCCCCCCCATAGACACACACACACAGGGAACAGCCCCTCTCCTAGACACACACATATAGGGAGCAGGGCCCAGACACGCACACAGGGACCGAACTCCCGTCTCCCCCCCCATATAGGGAAAAGTCCGTCCCCCCCAAAAAACTGCACAGGACCATCTCTCTATATATATACACACAGAACAGAACCGCACACACACACACTGGCCCCCCTACATACACACACAGTGCCCCCCACACACACATGGAACAGGGCTCCCCCCGCCCAGGGAACAGGGCCGCACCACACACCCCCCCCCCCCCCACGGAACAGGGCTCCCCCGCCCAGGGAACAGGGCCGCACACACACACTGCCCCCCCCACGGAACAGGGCTCCCCCCCCGCCCAGGGAACAGGGCCGCACACACACACTGCCCCCCCCACACACACTGCCCCCCCACGGAACAGGGCTCCCCCCGCCCAGGGAACAGGGCCGCACACACACACTGCCCCCCCCACGGAACAGGGCTCCCCCCCGCCCAGGGAACAGGGCCGCACACACACACTGCCCCCCCCCCACACACTGCCCCCCCCACGGAACAGGGCTCCCCCCCGCCCAGGGAACAGGGCCGCCACACACACACTGCCCCCCACACGGAACGGGCCCCCCCCGCCCAGGGAACAGGGCCGCACACACACACTGCCCCCCCCCACGGAACAGGGCTCCCCCTGCCCAGGGAACAGGGCCGCACACACACACTGCCCCCCCCCACACACACTGACCCCCCCACACACACATGGAACAGGGCTCCCCCCGCCCAGGGAAGGGGGCCGCACACACACACAGAACAGAGCCACACACACACGGTGCTCCCTCTCCCCCTGCCAGCGGCGCACACGGGTGCTCATATCAGGGTACACACAGGGCAGCCAGGCAGATAAGACCTGGGCACCCAGTGTGCTCAGCCCCTTTCGCCCGCCCGCCCAGCACCCACGGGAGCCAGCCCTGGCTGCAGGGGACCGCGCTGTGTTGGCCGGGCCCCGTGATATGTTCCAGGGTCCTGGGCCGCGGGTCCTTCCCCGGCCAGTCTCTGTTTCTTTGTACCGGTCTCTGGGCACAGCAGGGCACGCAGGGCGGGCGGGCCCCGTCCTGGATCCGTTAGGCCAGCTAACGTCCTGGCCGTGTGGGCTCAGCCCGTGGCTCCTGCTTGGCTAGCGTGTGGCCAGGCCCTCGCCCAGGCGGCACTGGTGTCCTTGGGGGCGGGGAGGGGGCGGCAGCCCTGAAGCCCTGGCCCGCGTGCGCCGGGCTCCGGGCACCGTCCCCGTCCTGCCGATTAACTCCCCGGGTCGGAGCAGTGTCTCTGCAGGGTCTGTGCGTCCGGCGGCGGGGCCAGCTGTCCAGGGAGGGAGCGGCGCCGGGGGGGCGGCTCGCAGGGCAGCTCTGGGCTGGGCGGCTGTGGGAACTGGAACGGCACCGGGTAACTGGGAACCTGCGGGCGGGCGAGATGCTGTCAGGAGCCACCCGCTGCCCAGGGAACCAGGCTGCCAACACCACGACTGACCGCAGCCCAGAACTCACCGAGCGACGGCACTGTTCAGTGCCACGGGGCACTGCAGAGGGGCAGGGCTGGGCCGGCAGGGGGCTGCGGGTCGGGAGTGAGGGGCACCGGCAGAGCTCGGCGTGGGGAGCCCATGGCTGGGCCGGCAGGGGGCTGCGGGGGTCGGGAGGAGGGATGGGGGCGCCGGGGAGCTGCGGGCGTGGGGAGCCCATGGCTGGGCCGGCAGGGGGCTGCGGGTCGGGAGTGAGGGGCACCGGCGGAGCTCGGCGTGGGGAGCCCATGGCTGGGCCGGCAGGGGGCTGCGGGTCGGGAGTGAGGGGCGCCGGAGGAGCTCGGCGTGGGGAGCCCATGGCTGGGCCGGCAGCGGGCTGCGGGTCGGGAGTGAGGGGCGCCGGCGGGGGCGCCGGCGGAGGGGCGGCTCGGCGTGGGGAGCCCATGGCTGGGCCGGCAGGGGGCTGCGGGTCGGGAGTGAGGGGCGCCGGCGGAGCTCGGCGTGGGGAGCCCATGGCTGGGCCGGCAGGGGGCTGCGGGTCGGGAGTGAGGAGCGCTGGTGAAGGAGGGCCCGGTGGTCCCGGCTGTCCCCCCGGGGATCTCGGTTCGGTTTCCGACCCAGCGGCTGGGCGACCTGCCCCGTGTCCCCAGGGGCAGAGCCCCGGCTGGTGTCCGTCGATGGTTGGCCGCAGGGGGTGTGCCAGCCTGGCGCTTCGCGGTGGGTCCCTGGAGCGAGGGGTCTCACCTGGGGGCAGGGCTCGCCGGGCGGTGGGGAGCGCTCCGGGCCTGGGGGTGGCGACGACATGGTGCTATAGGCCGGCGGCACCAGCCCGACCTGCCGCTGCAGCAGCTGCATGATGGCGCCCACGTCCGCAGCCATGCGAGTCTCCAGCCTGCCGGGAGATGAGGGGCTGAGCCAGGGGGGGGGCACCCCCAGCCAGCCCAGAGACACCTCCGGGCACGATCCTGCCCCCGCTGGGCAACGCCTCGGCCGGCAGGAGACACCACCCCCCGCAGACACCTGGCTAGGCCTGAGGTGCTGGAACTGGGGGGCCCCGGGGCCTTTCCCTGCCATGCCGCCTGTTCCCCGCCCCTCACCTGCCCCCCCAGGGCCTTTCCCTGCCATGCCGCCTGTTCCCGCCCCTCACCTGTCCCCCCAGGGCCTTTCTCTGCCTTGCCATTGTTCCCCGCCCCTCACCTGCCCCCCAGAGCCTTTCTCTGCCTTGCCATTGTTCCCCGCCCCTCACCTGCCCCCCAGGGCCTTTCTCTGCCTTGCCATTGTTCCCCGCCCCTCACCTGCCCCCCCAGGGCCTTTCTCTGCCTTGCCATTGTTCCCCGCCCCTCACCTGCCCCCCCAGGGCCTTTCCCTGCCATGCCGCCTGTTCCCCACCCCTCACCTGCCTCCCCAGGGCCTTTCTCTGCCTTGCCATTGTTCCCCGCCCCTCACCTGCCCCCCAGAGCCTTTCTCTGCCTTGCCCCCTGTTCCCCGCCCCTCACCTGCTCCCCCCAGGGCCTTTCCCTGCCATGCCGCCTGTTCCCCGCCCCTCACCTGCCCCCCAGGGCCTTTCCCTGCCTTGCCCCCTGTTCCCCGCCCCTCACCTGCCCCCCCCAGGGCCTTTCCCTGCCTTGCCATTGTTCCCCGCCCCTCACCTGCCCCCCAGAGCCTTTCTCTGCCTTGCCCCCTGTTCCCGCCCCTCACCTGTCCCCCCAGGGCCTTTCCCTGCCATGCGCCCTATTCACCGCCCCTCACCTGCCTCCCCAGGGCCTTTCCCTGCCCTGCCCCCTGTTCCCCGCCCCTCACCTGCCTCCCCAGGGCCTTTCCCTGCCTTGCCCCTGTTCCCCGCCCCTCACCTGCCCCCCCAGGGCCTTTCCCTGCCTTGCCCCCTGTTCCCGCCCCCTCACCTGCCCCCCCAGGGCCTTTCCCTGCCTTGCCACTGTTCCCCGCCCCTCACCTGCCCCCCAGGGCTTTTCCCTGCCATGCACCCCTGTTCCCTGCCCCTCACCTGCACCCCCAGGGCCTTTCCCTGCCTTGCCCACTGTTCCCTGTCCCTCATCTGCCCCCCCAGGGCCTTTCCCTGCCATGCCCCCTGTTCCCCGCCCCTCACCTGCTCCCCCCAGAGCCTTTCCCTACCATGCCCCCTGTTCCCCGCCCCCTCACCTGCCCCCCCCAGGGCCTTTCCCTGCCTTGCCCCCTGTTCCCGCCCCTCACCTGCCCCCCCAGGGCCTTTCCCTGCCATGCCCCCTGTTCCCGCC